ATTTGGATCATTCAATGTCGTCCCGAACGGAACGCGGCTTCAGTAGCCTCAAGGACATACTTGCTATAACAAGGGATTGATATATTCTTTGAGGCGCAAAAGTGCACTTTGGAGACGCGTCGAAACCGCACGTGTAGACGCGAAGTCGGCGAGTCCCGAACACCGAACGCCGCAATGCGTGAACATGAACGTGATGAAGAAGCAACATCCATCTCTCGACCCTCTCGCATATTTCCAGCCACATCTATCAATTATCCTCACAAATCTTCATCATGGAGCTGCAGCAGCATTTGCTACGCCCTTGCGACACCGCGTGCTTTCGCTTGGAGCTCAGCGTCTCAAAGCAAACAAGACCGATACGCCCCGTCATTCTCGCTTGTCGCCTTGGGCATGCCTATCGTAGCTCTGCGCCCACGACGTTTATTGTGCCTACTGATAGCTAGGCTTGCTAGGTGCCGATACAGCTTTCGCTGCACTGCAAGAGTTGAAACCTCGACGGCGTAGGAGCATGGTCCACGCCAGACCCACATGCAGAAAATTTGCAAAAATGACAGTACCCAGAGGGAGAATTGAACTCCCGTTACCAGCTTATTAGACCGGTGTGATTACCACTACACTATCCGGGCTTGCTTTTGTTGCATGGAAAGCTCTTGGTCAACACCGTTTATGAAAAGAAATTTTCAGTGAGTCAGTAAGCAGGAGGCTTGATATGAGTCAAGGAGCCCTTGCGCGGGCTCACGAACGTCGAGCAGCGAGCTCATTATACTTCTGAACAGTCGCACCGGTAATGTAGACGGGTATGTCGCGTGTCTCCTTCAATGTGTTTTTCCTCTGCATAGCTGGGCACAAATACGACCCATGCTACGTTGTCCCGTCCAGTGAATGTGCATTTACCCGCTGGTCTTGGAGTCTTGGAGTGTAGATCTTGAGAGTGCTGAAAAATCAGACATATGCTTCATATGCAGTGTGCAGAAGGAATACTGTATCGGCGTTGGCTTTCTGCACGTTTTCGAAAGCTTCAACACGTCATCCCTTCTCTTTCGATTCGGTATCATCAGCCCATCACATGCAGCCCAATCCAAATGTACCGGCCTTTGATCGACGTGTGGAGTATGGTCTTTGCATAAGGCTTCTGTTATGCACTGACTTTTGCCGAACATCGCTCATTCTCGAAGCCTACTTGTTGTTCATGCTTGTCAACATATTCATCGAACTCATATTGCGGGACGGGTCTTGCTCTAGCGGTCGCGCCTGTCCTGAAAAAGAACGTTGTCCGGTCCTCCCCGCCATGACGCTCTCTCCCTCAGTCAGATACACACCATCCACAACGCTGTAAAGCCAAACAGCGTAAGATCATAGCTTCGATGTTTGGAACAATGACTCTGCATCTGGCCTCAGTTCAGGATCCGCTGGAGAAGACGGTAAATTCCTTAGGGGTCTTCACGGAGTCGGTCATCAGCACGTCGTTTAGCGGGCTGTAGCCTGGTATATGAGTTGGTTGCAGACGTACTCTTCTTTCCCTCCATTATGAAACTCGGCCCATAGAGGGACTCTGAGAATCTCCCATCCGCCGGTGAGGACTAACACGAATACCTACGAACGGATAGCCGTGAACTGTTTTCTGTCCGTTACGTTCGGTGGGAAGTGACAGCCAGACATATGATCCTTTTCTCGAAGATCACGTGATTCAGTTTTACCCTTATGGGTGTGGAACATCGTTCGATTCACTGACATGCTGTCAAGTAGTGAGATTGATGAAGCATCTGGCTTCATGTCTGTACTACTTTCAGCATATAGGATTCGTCAACGCGGCGTGATTATATCACATCACGTGAAAGGATTGGTGACTGAGGGAACAGCGGTTAAATCAAGCGTTTGCTTCACCACTTGTCGCTGACATCGGATCAATCAGGGTCCCCGCAGATTGACCCAAGCAGAATAAGAGAAGCTTGGTGTCGATCATCTATTTTTGATCACATGAGACTGGTGATTAGCGGAAATCACAAAGAAGGTATCTCCAACGTTGCAAATATTCGACATGTTATTTCCGTGACCAGTAGCATTTTCTGCGTTTTGTATGCGGCATGACGATACCAGAGCACATCCCAAAGCGCCGTCAATGCCCACGAGGACACACCTCACATGGCCATCTGATTCCATTACTGCATTTTACCGCTTGCAGATCTCCCGGCTAATTACCTGAATGACTCCACACACCGTGCCGCCCATACTTCCAAGCGTACATGCTGGACTGGATACCTCGGACGTCGCTCTACTGGAAGCCATAGAAGACCTTCACCTCCTTTAATTTCTCACATGCCCCGCGGACACGCAGGAGCTGTAGTGAGACGCTCCAACCAGTGTGTGATGTCACCCCAACGAGCTTCCTCTCCAGGAATCCTGTCGTAGTAGCGCTGACACCTCTCCTGTGGCGCGTTACTTCGCGGGGAAGCTCTCCTGATGGACTGCAGTCGCAGCGTCGCCCTCGATCCAGAGACACTGGCCTATTGAAAGATAAACGATTCGCCATGCTAATCAAGGCTCAGGCATCAGCGTGCCATTGCTTCCGGAAGATGGATGAGGGATCGGCGTACGTGCGGTGCATCTCGTGTTACTGCTCATGAATCTCCTAGTCAAAGGATTACATCCATGGTTTGTCCCACTGGCAATAAAGGTAGGCCCATCTCTCGCACCAGTTCCGACTCCTGCTTTATGAGCGTCCGAGCTTGGCTTGTCGTGGCTTCCATCCGTCGTATTCGCCAACGTCTTCCATCACCATGCCGTCCTACATCTTCGCTCTAGTATCGGTCTTTTCAAGCTTAGCAGCGGCTGCAACCGAGTATATACCGGCTAGACCTCCAAACATCCCTCTAGGTATGTCAGATGACTTTTTGCCATTGGATTCAGTATCTCTTCAGCGGACCCATCTGTGCCAAATGTCGAAGCTGGATCACAGTATCGATTATCTATTATGTTCTATGTATTGTAGCGCTTTCGAGTATGTATCATCGGCAGGATTTTGCGTGCTCGATCGAAGAATACTCGTGCTTGAATCAAATCACTCCACGTCGCTGACCTTAAACAGCTGTCCGATCCCCATATCTCAATACTGGGTTACAGATTGGCAATGATCAGCGGCCATCGACCGATGTTCAGACCAACAATCCCGGCACATTGAACGGAGAATGGGCTCGATTCTGGCAGTAAGATCTTGAAGACCATCACAGCTTACGGGATTTGGCTGACCTGATTTCAGACGTGCCATCACAGGCTGGGAAGGTATCGTGTCGGTCGACGGCGTAGCTTATGAATTTTTGGGCGATGCCTCTGCGAATATTCAAATGCAATCCGCTTCTCAGACCAGCGTCAATTACACCTCCACCAGGTCCATCTTTTCTATGAACGTAGGACCCGCCGTCACCCTGGAAATCGAATTTCTTTCGCCTGTAGTGCCCACCGACCTCAAGCGAATGTCTCTAGTGTCTTCGTACATGAATGTCAAGGCCATCTCCAAAGATGGCAAGGCGCATAACGTTGTGGTATACAGTGATGTCTCTGCTGGTATGCAAATTCCTGTCTCACTTCGATTTTACCAGGCAACGATCTAACTCAAGCGCAGAGTGGGCCACTGCCGACAGGAATAACGCAATTATCGAATGGAATCATGGCACCACGAGACATCTTCACTACCACCGCTTCTCTCGTCAAACACAGCTGCTGTGGTCTGAGGTATCGATTAACAACAACGCCGATCAGACCGAGTTCGGCAACTGGTACTATGCCACCAAGAACGGCGCCGGCGTCACTTGGCAGTCTGGATCCGACTCTGATGTCCGCAACGCCTTTGTAAAGAACAAGAAACTCGGCAACACTCAGGACACCAACTTTCGGCCAGCCAGTAACAGATATCCCGTGTTTGGACTCGCCGTTGACCTTGGTAGCGTAACCGCCTCTGCAAGCGCACTGTTCACTATCAATCTGGTCCAGGACGAGCCCGTCCAATTCAAGGGCGCCAACAACGTGACGACTGCTCTCCCTGGGCTGTGGAAGAGTTACTTTCCCTCCGAGACCGCTTGCCTTGACTTCTTCTACAAGGACTATGCCACTGTCAGCCCGCTTTGTGACACCCTCGACAATAAGATTATCACCGACACCATGAACTATGGAGGCTCCAATTACTCAGCATTCGCTCAGCTCGCTGTCCGCCAGGCTTTCGGAGGTCTCGCTTTTGTCAACACAACGGCGAACCCGATCGTCTTCCTGAAAGAGATCAGTTCTGATGGCAATGTCAATACTGCAGACGTCATCTTCCCATTCTTCCCAATCGCCCTCTATTTGAACGCCAACATCATTAAATGGCTGCTCGAACCTCTCTTCATCCAGCAAGAAGGCGGTGACTGGCTTGCCGGCTATGCCGAGCACGACATTGGTGCACATTACCCCAACGGCACCCTCGACGGCTACGGTCCCGGCGGACAAGAGCCCCAGGAAGTTGAAGAATCAGGCAACATGATCATCATGGCGGTCGCCTACGCCAAGGCCGCCAAAGACACAGCCTATTTACAGAAGCACTACCCCAAACTCCAACAATGGGCCTCGTACCTCCTCACCGACGGCCAATTTCCCGGCAACCAACTCTCGACCGACGACTTCCAAGGTCGCGCCGCCAATCAAACCAACCTCGCCCTCAAAGCCGTCTCCGGCCTCGGCGCCATGAGCCAGGCGGCCACCCTCCTCGGCAAGACAGCCGACAGCACCAAATACCGCAACGCCGCACAGCGATTTGTCTACACCGTCCAACGCTACGGCACCACCACCACGGGCGGCAATCACACCAAGCTCTCCTACAACGACGACCCGACGACCTTTACCTACTCCACGACATACAACACCTGGCCCGACCGCGCGCTCGGCAGCGACATCATCCCCCAATCCCTCCTCACCAACAACGCCAACTTCTACGCCGAACACTTTGACGCCTACGGCCTCCCGCTCGACAGCCGCGACAACAGCGTCAAGTCCGACTGGCTCATGTGGGAGGCTGCCGTTTCGGGATCCGCAGAGGTCAGGAAGTTGGCAATCGATGGCATCTACGCGTTCGTGACGCACACGAATATCGCGCCGCCGTTTTCGGACCTGTATGACGCGACGACGGCGGAGTTTGCGAATGGGTATTTTGTGGCGAGGCCGGTGCAGGGGGGCTTGTTTGCGCCGTTGGCTATGAGTCAAGCGAGCGGGAAGGTGTCATAGTGTTTGGGTAGGGAGACGATGGTTGTATGCATTGTGGGTTTGGGGAGGCGGAGTGAGAGGATGGTCATGTCAAGCCTGCTCTGCACGCTATGCGTGGATTCGTTCTACCTGTGGCCTTGTACATGCAACGCATTACGACGAGCTCGGCGTAAAGGTCCAAGCTGTTATCTACATACAGAGCTCGTTCCGTAAAGGTGCTTGTCCTGAATGTAAGCGGCCGCTGCTCGGCGTCCTTCCCCCCCAATTCAACCCTTCATCTATTGGACAAAGGCTTGAGAGCCCCTAGAGAAAAGCCAAGACCCGTCTTTGGAGTGGGAGAATCGGCTGCGAATAGGAGACAAACGCTGGTTTTGAACAGGGACGCTGAGTATATAGA